TAAAATTAAATGAAAATCGAAGTGTGACCATTATGCAGGACGAAAAGAGCAATAAAGGATGAACCCCATCCATGAGGGACTCCTCAGAATGGCTCGAGTAGTCACTTGAGAATAGGTGAATTAAGCCTTATTTATATACCAACTAGCAAATAATAGAATGTGCACATGATATTTAAATAATCTCTGTAATTAGCATAGTTGTTTCTCAGTGCAATAATTATCAATAACCAAATCTGAATTTTAATCTATTTGACACTTCTTACTCAACAAGCTGAGTTATGCCCACCTGGAGAAATGAAAGAGTAAGGGCAACTCCAAGTCTCTAATGCAAGAGGTAAATCAAAGGATAAAGAACAATAATTGTCAAATTTACCTTTTTCTTCAGATAAGTTTATCCTCCAATGAGGAAGATAAATGAGAAAGTATTATACCTTCTTTAATTTTGGAGAGGTTTATTTACCTCTTCAATTTTGAATACCAATTTCTTCTCTTTTCTTAAAAATATCTTTATTTTGAGAAACATATATTTACCTTTCTCATTTATCTTCTTCTATTGGAATCAAGATCATTTTAAATAGATATATCTACCTTTTTGACAAGGTAAATGAGCAAAATGCCTCTCAAGTTTTACCTATTGCCACTTGCCATTGCTCTAAGGAAATGAATGGTTGGGGTGCATTCTAATAATCATAATGATACCTAGGGTGTCATCTCTCTCTCTCTCTCCTTGATTCAGTACATCCATTCATTGCTGGGTTGGTGGGAGGTTCTTGTCTTCTTTGCAAATTCAGTTATTCCCTTTCTATCTTTTCACCATCTTTTCTCCCTACCTTTTCTTACTTTTTTTTTCCAATAAAATAAAATAAGAGTAAAAAATAAAATCACGGAGTGAAACGATCCAGCATGCGTTTGTACATGTATTTTCTCTTCCTCAAAAAATATTCTCTCAATTATTGTTGTGAACTTATAACATTTTTTGTTTTTTTTATATTTTTATTGATTATTTTATAAAACAAATTAATTTTTTTTATGTAATCTAAAAAGTTACAGTTTTTAATTTTTATTTAATTATAAGTTTGAGGTCTCTTAAAAAACAAAGTCTAAAGATCAATTCAAATTGACTCAAAAAGTAAAAAATGAACAAATGTTCTAAACGAAAGCGAGGAGAATTGACTCAGCATATCTATCATCTCTACTTCCAACTCAGTGCGCATCCGCTTTTCTTAATCTCCATTTCATCCCCATTTACGGTGTCATTACCATTCCAACCTTATGTTTTTTATATTTTTAAACACTACTTTTATCATTTGCATTTAATATTTTAATTTAAAAAATAAAAAAATTAAAACATTAAATAATAATTGGACACTTAAAAAAATTATAAACTTAAATAATAAATGAAATAAAATGCGTTAAAGAAGTACGACAACGATCAAAGACGAAAAAATAGAAAAACAGAGAAATCGGTCGGGATGATCATGCACGCTCCTGACACCGGTCACCGATTGGGGGGGGGGGGGGACGGTGTTGAGTCGGCTGCCCAACTCCCCCGATCCCCATACCCCATAGCCTTAACATCGTTTGTAGTTCAGCTGTTCAGGGATTGGAGTCTATTGGACTCTGTCCACTTAGTTTGGTGGACCGATAGAGATTTTTATTTTAAATTCTACTTGAAGTGTTTTTAAGACTAATGTTTTTGATTAAATTAAATGTACTTATATATATATATATATATATATATATATATATATATATATATATATATATATATATAGACTATATTACACATACAGAACGAGCACTTGTGTTTGAGAACATAGATTTAAATTTCATGTTTGGGAATATATATGGATTTGACTCAAATTCAATGTTTGAAAAACTTAAAAATTTTGAATTTGGATTTGAGTTAAATTCTTTTCATTCAAAACAAAATTTAATTTGAAATTCATGCACCTCTCATTGTCATTTAAAATTCAACATTTAAATTTTGGAACTGAAATACATGAATTGAAATAAAATACTAGTTTGCCAAACACTACCTAAAGAAAATCCCCAAGAGGTACTTTCAGTGTAAAAACTATTTCATACTCCGTAATTAAAATTTATTTTATGTGTAAATTAGTATATAAATTAAAAAACTCATATTAAACATTAAATGCGGATTAATAATTATGTAAACTATAAGATGTTGCGTAACTATGATATTTGATCAAATAATAAATAAAAACATTTAAATATATAAATGTTATCGTGACCATAAAATGATAACTTAGGACTTCATTTTGGGACCATAAGAGCACTGGTAATGGTCATGAAGCCCGGGACTTCAAACCGGGGCTTCAAACCTTCTCTCTCTGTCACGTCAGCTTTAACTTACACCCAAAATTCACTGAAAATGGTTTTGAAGCCCCAGGGCTTCAAACTAGGGCTTCAAACCTTCATTTTTTACAATTTTAAATATATATCTTTTAAAATTAAATTAATAAAATGTAATTAATTTATTATTTAATTAAATTGAAACATGAATAATAAAAAAATACATTAATTAAATAAAAAAAAAGCGACAATAATTTAAATAAATATACATTAATAAAAAAGACTAAGGTAAATTATATTTCTCCTTGATCTCTCTCATTTTTTGCTCATAGATCATTCGTCCAAACTCTGACAACGTCACGGGGTCGGTTTGCATGACTTTCATCTCGGTCTCCTGCTCCTTTAGCTTCAACTCCTTCTCCTTTAGCTTCAACCTCTCTTGTTCTTGGAGATTGAACGCCTGAAGTTGTTCAATCATTGCCCGGCCGATTTCGTCGCAGGGAGAAGCGGAAACAGAGGCGGACCCTCCCGAACCAGAGGCAATGGATTTTGCCTTCTTTCTTCTGATCGGCCGTGGAATGGGGTCCTCGTCATCGGAATCCGCAACGTTGAAGGGAGGGATTTGATCGGTAGAACCGATAGTCTCGTCGACCTCAACCTCAGCATTGACGGTTGATCTTTTCCGGAACGATCCGCCGTCGGGATTGTTGAGTTGTTGCCACTTCGGGGAACGACTCAAAATCCTCTAAAGATCGATGGGCACCTTACCATGGTGCCCGTCGTCTTGATACTGGGTCGTGGCAAGCCGGAGAACATCGGCGTCGTTCGTACCGCTCCTCCGGGACCGGGAGCATTCCTCGTAAACTCCGATAAACTTTCGGACTTTACGATTGATGTGGCTCCATTTGGAAGTGAGTTGGTCCCGGGTTCGGTAGGAGCCATCCTTGTTCATCTCCGTGAAGAACTTCTCCTCGATACGATCCCACATCGCATCTCGGTCGACGTACCCCGATTGTTGCGTCTCGTAGATCGGCGGTCGATCACCCCACTGTTCGTAGAACCACATCGCGGCGTCGCTCGGCGGGAGATCGCCGGGAAAGAAGCCGGAGCTGGAAGGATTCATATTGAAAATTGGGAGGGGGGGGGTTTGAATTTTGAAATTTAAAAATTGGGAATAAGAAGAGATTGAAGATGGAGATGGTGTGAGATATTGGGAAGGGGGGAGGGGGTTTGAATTTATAATAATTTTTTTTTTGAATTGGGGGGTGCAACGGCTCAAAGAGCCGTTAGGGGGGAGGGGGAGACAAATGACGCTGCGTCATTCGTTTGACGCACGCCAAGTAACGCCCGGGTAACGCTGCCAGGGGGCAGAGTTTAACGCCCCTAGGGCGTGAAAACCGGCATAACACCGGTCGGCGTTACGGATATACCCACTGCCCTAAAATGATAACTTAGGACTTATTTTTTGTGACCGAAACTAGAACCACTACTGAATCAGAATTGGTTTAATTATTTTCATGTTTTTATGCTTACTTTTAATTTGTTTGGGATTGATTCACAATATTTACTACAAAAAACAGTTTGGAGTCAATTATATAACTTTTTTACCAACATTGTTTTTAAAAAAATATTATTAAAAAATGGTTTAAAACTGGAACCAAACGGAAGCGGTTTCGCAATGGAATCGCCCCTACATGGTATCGGTTCTTGTTCCTTGAAAATGGGGACCAATCCGGTACCGCCAGTTCTAGAACAAGACCAGTATCGTATCAGTCTCTACTAATTAAGAGTAAGATTGTAAGAGCTTAATGTCCAAACTTTTAAAATGAGGAGTAGAAAAACATGGAAAAGGGGAAATGAAATCATCCAAAATAGAGTAAAATATAGAGAAAATATTAAAATAAGAGTTCAATGTTTTTAATATCAAAATACGAGTTTTTATTGTGAGAATGTGACATTATATACTGGCATTTCACAATATTTTTTAGTATTATATGTTGAGTCATTGACATTACAACTCTTATTTTGAGATTAAAATTATGAAATTTTTATTTTGATTTTTAATATTTTACTCTTAATTTGATCTTTTTCACCAAAAATCCCCTTTAAAACCCTAGATTAGGAATAAGAAAACAGGGAATGAAATATGAACGATTTCTTTAGGCACATAAATGATTTCTATTATTCAATGCAATATATTTAAATGACTCTAAGTTGCTGTTCATTTTCAAAAATCTTAATTCAATAATTCTAAAGTTTTGTAAAATCCTTAATAAATGTTTAAAGTTGTGATAAGAAATATCTTGATTTTAATATATTTTGAAATATTTAAAGTAAATACCCCTAAATTTTAAACACCAAGAAATTTCCAAAAAAAATTCTAATTATTAAATGTCAATACACTCCTTAATATAAATTCTTTTTTTGACAAGATATAAATTCTTTATTTAGAAGGTGAAGAAAGTATTTAAAAATTTATTATTGGGTACTTATATTTTGAAATAAAAATTGCAGGTATTCTAAATTTTTAAAATATACTCCGAGATATTTTAAAATATTTCAAAAGTGACGAACATTTTTCTCTCCCGTTATAAATCCAATTTTACCTAGATTTATAAGTCCAAAATTTGTAAATTGGAAAGTAGTGTATTTTATAAGTCCAAAATTTGGAATTTGCAAAAGCTACAAGGCCTCAGATCGTGAATCAATATTATCCGAGCACCAGGGCGCCATCGCATCGGCTTCATCATCCGCTCCAAATCGTAAGCTTTTCTTTCCCAATTTCGTCTTCTGAGTGTATTCTTTTCATTACAAAATTCCGTCTGTTCTTGACGAGACCTCCATGGTTTTTTTTCCCTTTCAAATTCACATGAAAATTTACCATCAAATTCATGCGAAACTAGCATATAGTGTGATATAACTTGTTATACTCTTACCTTTCTAGTTTCTAGCAATACATCCCTATCAGACTCTGTCCAAGTTTCACTAACAGCACAGCAGACTAAATTCAGCACATAGAGAGAACTACTTTAAGTACTTTAACCTAATGTTCTTTGATGCATTTACCGGACTCTGTTCAATTTTCATCTTTTGTTTATATAAAATTTGATAATAATTGGTCTTATTGAATAATTTGATAATAATTGGTCTTATTGAATAATGGAGATAATCCTAATTATAGTAGGATAATAGTTATAGAAGTACATGATCACCGAGCCTTTATTATACATGTATATCCCTAGCTGTGTGAAGAACATACCGTAAAAGGTCCATACTTTTCACCAATTTGGTTTCTATCTAAACATCCATGTGCTCATATTATTCATCTAATTTACCCATTCTTGAAGACATCAATGCCATCGAAACTTATTCCACGAGAGAGGGCTATTGCTCAGGGAATAAGTGCTCTACACAATTAGAAGACTGTTAAGTGCAAATTGCAAAGCTAACATCACCTTATGGCTTATACTTATATGTCTAAATGCTAGAAGAGACAACAACATTATCCCAGTGCCTCAAAGGCTTCCTGCCCATTGCGGAGTAAGGGGGTCGGATGCACACAACCTGACCCTTATGTTTTACACATAGAGTGGCTATTTCATGATGGCCCACGATGAGTGTCGAAAATTGCAACTGCTACTTCACTACTAAAAAAGCAGTTTAAGGAGCCACTTTTCTTTTTTCCATCACACCGCAAATAAATAGTGTATCTTTGGCTTCATCAGACATGATTGAAAGAAATGCTAGAAGACAATCCACCAAAATTTATATGAAGGTTTTTCTTTGGTTTGTCCATGAACCGCCATATATGTCATTAACACTGAACATACATGCTCAATTGTTTTAATCATTTAGGAAGAGAAACAGAAATACTTTCCCAACAAAAATCGGAGAAAATCACAAAAGATGAAAATTGTTCACAGAGACTTCATTAGCAATGGCCCTGGTGGTGTCAAGGTAATTTATTCAGAGATTTGCCTTTAAAGCACGATCATACTTTCAGATTTACTTTTTAAAATATCAATTATGTATAATTGTTCAGTGGATTTGACTGTGATGCAGATGATTCCTGAGGAGGCAGACGACTTGTGGATTGCATATAATTTGATAAGTGAAGGTGACACAGTGTTAGCTTCAACTGTTAGGTATTTTTATGCCCAATGCACTATTTTGCAATGTTGAATGTGGAGTATTTCCTAATGAGTTGGTTTCTCATTTTCCCTCCCGAGAACCATTGTAATTTGTATATCATGGTAATAATTTTTATTTATTGTTGATGATGTTGTTTCCATGTATGGTAAGGCCTGCAATCTTCATACACACACCCTCCACAGACCCTGCTCTTTGGGGTTTTATTGGGTCTGTTAATGTTGATGATTTTTTAGTAGCGTTTTACCCCGGAGTTCAACATTCATGGGGCTGCACTTGAACTGTTTGCCAGACAAAAGATGCAATTTTCCATTTCCTGATTCATAGATGTGCTTATTTTCTATTAATGCTTGGGTTATCTGCTCATAATGCATTCAACAGCTTTATTTTTTTATTTGTGTGGATAATTAGTTAGCTTTTATGTTTTCATAATTGGTAAAAGTTCTTAATTAGCATTGAGGGTGGAATTAGTTTGATTATTTTGAATTGTACTAGAATTATATGTGCTCTCACGTTTGCTTCCAAGATGTTTGAAACTCAGAGAAAGCTGTTGAAGTATATCCTAACTATTGTAGGCTAATTTATTTTGTTTTTCTGGTTGTTGTACTTATATTATTTATTACAACAATACGTGTGTCAAAAATGGAAAATTGCCATGGACTATATATTACTCCTAATCTTTGATTGTTCTAACATGCTTATGTTTGTTTTCTTGAACTGTGTTTCAACAAACATCCTCTCTACCTCTATAGGCAGGGGTAAGGTCGCCTTACACCCACCTAAATCCCACTTGTGGGATCAGGGTGTTTCTATTGTTGATGTTATTGACTATATTCCTTACCATACCTTCAGGAAAGTTTTAAGAGAGTCTGCTTCGGGGGGAAGAGAAGCGGAGCGAGTAAAATTACGATTACAGATAAATGTTGAGGTATGCCTACTTTGTTTCAGTATTTCCTGAACACACATGTTAAGGTCTATTAAATGCTGAGTGGTGATAGGGGCCAAGTTTATTAGTGGTGGTAGTCTTCCCATTTCATGCATGTAGGTGGATGGCCCTTTCTCAATGATTTAATTAGTCCCTAAAAGGATCCAAATTTGTTATCTGTGTTCAATTTTACAACAACACCAGCAACTCAGTATAATCCCAACTCCGTTGGAGCATGGAGATCAAGATACACGTTGTCTTATTCCTCTAAAAACAAGGAGGACCCTAGAACCCTAGATGAATTGCTGCATTTACTACCCAAAACCTCGAAGTAGTTAGAACTAAGAAGCAAGGGAAATTTAATTTTCCATTTTGATGCAGTCCATTATGTGCCTGCGACTAAAATATCGTCAATAATGACTACGTAGTATTTTTGTTCCATTGGCAATGGATGGTATGTGTGTTCAATTTTTATACCAAATAATTTTTTTTCTAAAAAATATTTTTGAAGGCTGTGGAGTATGATAAAGAAGATTCTGCGTTGCGTATAAGGGGTAAGAACGTCCTGGAGAATGAACATGTAAAGGTATTTGGCATTACAGTTTGGACATTAAATTAAGCTAACTTGTCTTGCATCAGTTCTTTCTTCTCTATGCATTGTTTAGACTTAGTCTCTATAAGGTCCCACATCTTTTTATCCAGTTAAAGTTTTTGGAGTTTTCCAGAAACTGGCTTCTTTCTGTAGTGAAAGGACCCTGATTAAAGGATAAGCTCTCTATGTCACAGATGTATTGAAATTGGGTTGTATGTGTAAACTTGTCATGCAACTTCTGAAATCTTAACTAGTTAATATCTGATGCAGATTGGTGCATTTCACACATTAGAAATTGAGCTGCACCGACCATTTGTTTTGGGGAAGGTAAAGCTGGATTCCCCGTTCCCCCTTCTATTTTGTTTTTAGTGCTAATCATTCCCTCATCAATTTAGGAGGTCTGGGACTCACTTGCTTTGGAGGTTCTTCGTCAAGCTTCTGGTATCCAATTTTCAGCTGATTTATCATCCAACTCGTTATCCTCATAATTAGTTCACTTTTTTGAAAATTTTGTAAAATTTACTTATATACCTTACTCTTCCCTCCTTATTCTCCCAACTCCCCCCTCCCCCCACAAACTCCCACCCGACNGCCTATCCCCCTTTAGCATATTGGCATCAGCAGCCCCCTCCCTCCCATGGGCAACCACTTAACCAGCTCCCCAACCCTCCACCCATCCCCCCTGGGCCCAACTGAGCACTATAGGGTCCCAAATGGCTCATATTATGACAGCGAGGGCTGGTGTCCGCCGTGTCCCAAACCGCAATGTAATCTCACTTTTCATAACAAGCGTTCCATATCAAACTAGGAACCTTCTTTTAGGATGGATGGGGTATATTTTTGTGTTTCAAGACCGCACAAGAGCACATATAATTATATAATATAAATACAAAATATGAGATGGGCTAAACACATACAACTAGGGCTGCACTATATCTAACAATTTCATGTTCGTTATACGGATAACTCATTGCTAGTTTATTATTATTTTTATATATAATTATGATTATGATTATAATTATAATGGTTATAAGTTATCCCTTATTGATAATGAGACAGAAGCAAGTTTGCTTCCCTTAACCTGTTAACTAATCACTTACCTGATGAATTCTTTTTCAAACGGCAATGTTAGATCCTGCTGCGAGTGCCGATTTGGCTGTGGTTTTGATGCAAGAAGGCTTGGCACAAATTTTTCTAGTTGGTAAAAGGTAACAAAACATGAGAACATTTTTAATAAGAATGCAAGGTACATGCTTTCTAAAACAACCTTCATGGTGCAAAATTTCATGTTTTTTTACTTGGTTGGCGGGATTAAGGATTAAAATAATGTCAAACTACATTTATTTGTTTTCCTGTGCACGCAATAAATATTTGACATGTGTGTGTGTGCTTATGATGGTGTCACTTTGATGCTTATGGACATACACATTTTTCGAGAAAATGTTATCTTTGTTGCTATACTGCCATAGTTTGAAATAAGGAAATCTAAACCATTGATAAAGATTCCTAATTTATCATACCTAAATCCCACTTTTCACCACATGGGCGTAAAACCTCCATTTTCACTTTCCCTTCCGTTGTGAATTGGGGCACACGTTGGGTTTGTAGTAGGACTACTTGCCAAATCAAGTCTGCTTACTCACCTTGTGTACCCAAAATATGGAGCCGTACAAGACTTTTTCTACAAAAGTTTTTTTTCTGTTTTTCTGATGGACGTTATTGATGAGACATTTTGTTACTAGAGTTTTTATTTCTGTGGCTTTGTCCATAAGATTGTAAACTTTACATATGTACAACGTCTCTTTACAGTGTGACAGTTAGTCGTTCTCGGATTGAGACTTCCATTCCTAGGAAGCATGGCCCTGCTATAGCAGGTTATGATAAAGTATGCATCTAAATTTTCTTCTCAAATCTAAACCCTTTATTTTTTGTCCTTTCAAGCTGGTCTTTTGGACTTGAAATAAGTACTTAGCCGTAAGTGCTTAATGTTAATAATAAGGATGATAATAATAATAATCGTCATGTTTGCAGGCTCTGAATAAGTTCTTCAATAATGTTGTGGATGTAAGTCTTTTTTTAGGTGCTCCACATTTTGCTTCTTTCCTTTTCCCTTAGAGTGCAATTGCATGCCAGAGCGTAATTTCTAGGCTGTGTAATTACTTGGGTAGTAACTACAAGGCTTTGAGTAATTACACGGTCTGTTTGGTCGTCACAATGTTGTGGATGCTTGATTACGCAGGGCATAATTGTTATTTATAGTGAATATGTATTTATAGGTATTGGTACGAGTAATTAACCCAACTCCAACTCCTCCCCCTTGGAGATGGAAAGTGTAATTGGGGCCCTCCAATAACAAAATGACTTTGTAAAAACATAATCAACCAAACAGGACAAAGACTGTAATTACATATAATTACACCAATTTCCAATTATGAAGGAGTTATCCAAACGTTCCCTCCTTAAACATATTGATTTGCTTAAGCATTCTGATTCTCATAATTATTCTCAACTCTCAAGTAGTAATATCTTTATTTCCAGGCTTTCCTTAAGCATATCGATTTCAAGTTGGTTCGTTGTGCAGTGATTGCTAGTCCAGGATTCACAAAGGTGCATCTTTATTTTTCTGTAGATTACTTACTTTGATCTGATGCCATTTTGATGATTTTGATCTTCTTTTCTCAGTTTTATGACATTTATCTGAACCTATACATGTTGGGACAGCGTGTGCCCTCACCCCAACCCCGCATTAGTATGATATTGTTCGCTCTGGGCCAAGTCCTCACGGATTTGTTTTTGGGCACTTTCCAAAAGGCCTCATACTAATGGGGTTGGGTGAACCTATACATTTTGGTCCATTTTTTCTTCTCCCTCCGGTGTGGGACTTGGAGGAATCCCAACAAACCTCCCCTCAACCAAGGACCACACAATTTTTGACCTCCCCTCCAGCGGTAATCCATTTTTCCTTTTATCTGCTAACCATCTTGCACCGCCGCACACTCTTTGCGGGACGCGCCGCCCGACCTTCTGTCGGGAAGACTTTCGACACAAGGCTCGAACTGCAAATCTTTTCCTTCGCTGGGCTACACCATTTGATCCGCCAAATCATCTTGTACCGCCGTGGCTATAACTTCACGGGACACGCCGCCCGACCTCATCTCGTCGGGAAGACTTTCGACACAAGGAACTACCTGCAGATCCTCTTTCTTGGTCTTGGTCCTATTGTTACACCGTCACACCGAGATTTTTCCACACTACAGAGTCCGCCTCACGCCCGCAAGAACCTGGGCTCCGATACCACATGTTGGGACTTTCGACACAAGGAACCACATGCAGATCCTCTTTCTTGGTCTTGGTCCTATTGTTACACCGTCACACTGAGATTTTTCCACACTACAGAGTCCGCCTCACGCCCGCAAGAACCTGGGCTCCGATACCACATGTTGGGACTGCGTGTGCCTTCACCCCAACCCCGCATTAGTATGATATTGTCCGCTCTGGGCTAAGCCCTCACGGAATTGTTTTTGGGCACTTCCCAAAAGGCCTCATACTAATGGGGTTGGGTGAACCTATATATTTTGGTCCATTTTTTCTTCTCCCTCCGGTGTGGGACTTGGAGGAATCCCCAACAATACACCAATCCCGTCCGGATTTTGTTGTCTACTTTCCAAAATACCTTAAACTAGTGTTAACCCCGTGCTTCGCACGGGCTCGTATACATTCTAAATTTTTGACATTTCATAAATATAATTTTTTTATTTTTTTAATAGTGACATAATATGTGTTAGATGAATATTTTTTTAACTCTAAGATATATCTTTTTTTAAATAATATAATTTAAATATATATGTACATGCACTAATGATTCTATTAGTATTTCCTTTAAAAGTAGTAAAAGAGAAATAATTTATTGTTTTTAAAAATCATATAAAACTTTATTTTTTAAAACATCGATAAAGTTAAAAAATATTTTATACATATAATTTAATTATGTGAACAGAATATGTTTTAAACTGGTGGGATATATATCGGTATGTTTATTTAAAACAAAAATTTTATACAAAACTAATGGCTATTATTCAATGAAGTACTAATGAAAATGGTTTTAATTAATAAAACATTATAATAAAAAATGGACTAATTAAATAATGATACATCATTAGAGAATGTATATGTGACAATATATATGTATGTATGCATGCATGTATGTACGTATGCATCTATAGATATCTCTCTCTCTCTCTCTCTCTGTGTGTGTGTGTATATATATATATATTACAATGATGATATATATGTTTATAAAATTGTTAAAAAATTACATTTTTATAAAAGTATAATTAAACTAATGTTTTTTAATACTAGAATATAATATTTATTTAATGTAATACAATAAAATGTGTTAAAAGGTATTTTTAAATAATTAAATGGACCAATAAAATTCCTCCATCTCATCAAGGAATGCACATGTGGATGATTATGTGGCATGCCACATGTCAACACTTCAAGAATTGAACCTAACTTTACATATATATATATATATATATATAGGATTTTAGGGATGAGGGTAAAATAACAAAACCCTTGAAATTAGCTTGCCCTTCATTGATGTCAACAATGTAAAAATGCTCTTTTGGGGCATTTTTTATCATTCACAATTTTTTTTAATGAAATATGGAAAGCATACAATTAATTCTGGACACCAAAACGGAAAAAGTGGACAACAAAAGGTGGACGGAGGAAGTAGTATATATTTTATTGGATTGATCAATATAAGCTTAGTAAGTTAACTATTGGTATGAATGATGATTTAGCGTGTATCCCTGTAACATTCTATACGAAATTTTGTGTAACATTCAGGATCAATTTCACCGTCATTTGCTGTTGGAAGCAGAGAGGAAGCAGTTGAGACCTATAATTGAGAACAAATCACGGATAGTTCTTGCACATACCACCTCAGGCTATAAGTATGATCTCTAACACATTTTCATATTAGGAAACTGGATTTTTGTTTATACAAGTCACTAGTATATCATACTATACAATATTAACAT